TGCTTGGATTAAGAGTCTGGTTGGGAGTTTTAGTGGGGACACATGTTTTTTTGCCCCCATTTTTTGGGGGATGGGGTTCCCCGCTACCAGATTTTAAGGGCCTGGCATGACTTTTGGGGGAACCCCACACACTTATTTTTTTACTTTTTAACTTGGGGTCCCTCCTAACTTTCCAACAGACCTAAAGAGTCTGGCATGGGTCGGGAGGGGGACCCCACTGGGTTTTTGTTTTTGTTTTTTTTACAAAAGTAGTAAAGAAATACTTTCCAGCCGTACCATATGAATCTGCTTAAGCCCTGGAAAGACAGGGAACCAGTGACTGCATTGGCAGGTGTGAGATTTAATTATTAGGTGGATGTTGACAGCTACCTTGTCAAAACCTTAAACCCAAGAAGTAACATAATTCCTGCAGATAATTTTTTCAGACTTGCCTGGTCTCACTGATGTCAATGTCATAATATAATTACTGAGCCTTCCAGTGTTAGGCCTAATCACATAATTTAAGGAAGGCAATCTTGAATAAAGTAAAGAAAATGTTGCAATTGGGGATCATTGAGGAATCACAGAGTAAGTGGTGAAGCCATAAAGTATTGCTTTCCAAGCCCAATTGAACTCTATAGTATTGCTGTCCAAGCCCAATTTGACAACTACTGTATATTATGACTTCAGTGGATGAGCTCATTGAGATACTAGGCCCTGAGTGTTCCATCAACGCTTTAGACCTCGCAAAAGGGTTTTAGAAAGTACCCTTAACCACGGCCGGCAGCAAAAACAGCAACAAACAGCTCCAGCAGCATACAAAAAGGGTCATTGCTAAGTTTCTATGCCTTTATTTTAGGTATGCAATCCAATGTTGGATTAGAAGCTGTTCTGTCTCAGGTCATCCATGGGGAGAAGCATTACATGGTTTTTCTCGGTGGAGCTACAATGTGCCCATCTACAAAAATGGGCTCTGGACTCACTCCAGTATTTGTTGCGAAGAAAGTTTAGGTTGATCTCAGACCATGCTTCTTAGACATGGATATGCCAAAATAAGGCGGCAAATGCTAGGGTGACCTAGTGGTTTCAGGCACTTCAGGAGTTCAGGTTTATGGTGGATCACAGACGAAGGAGACAGAAATAGCATGCTGATGTTGCTTATTTTCTTATCTAGACTTCTATAGTGCCTCCACCCCCTCAGGGTGGAGGCAGAGGAGGGAGATGTGTGCCAATCAGAAGGGATGTATTTTGGAGTCAGGTAACTATCCCATTGATTTTGGAAGTGTATCCTTTAAGAGCCAGGGTTATTGAACAGGGAAGTTGAAAAGGACATAGAAAGAGGAAGAGAGATCCTTTTGTTTGGACTTTTGTTTGCTATATGGACATTATGCTGCTGAGGTAAGACAGTAGCTTTTGTGCTCAGCATTTTACTAAGTTGCCATAAGAAGCACTGATTATGTTTATTTTTTGTGGCTGTAGACAAGCTTCCAAAGGACACAATAAAGGCTATTTTGTGATGAACATTTTGGTGTCCTGTATCCTAGCTAACCCTCTGAACAACACAATACATAAATACAAAAAAAATTGATAATATAAGGCATGTTTAGTAAATGCAGCAAATCCATGTGATAAAACCTTTAGTTAACTAAAAACTACATGTTATTGTTAACATTGCTAAATAATATATGGTCATAAAAACACTGCATGGATTATGCTTTTGTGAATTGGTGTTATTGTATTTTCACTTTAATGATGCAATATACTTATGCTTGTTACTGTACATTGCCTACCTTCCAAATTATTTTGTAAAATCTGGAGAGCTTTTAGAAATCATGGATATGTTATAGTTTGCAAATATAAGTTTGAACAATGTTTTCATAGTATAAGTGTAGTATCATGATTACTATTTATTTGTTTTTGTATTTTTTAGGGTTTTGATTCAAACTTTCCCTCTATCTGATTCACCAGTGATTATAGTACTAGACTCTCCAGGTTAGGCCGACAGATGCTGCATTAATCAGTCCCCCCCCCACCTCCCACAGGTGCACCCCACTCCCTACATATCTTTTTACATTGCATACATAAAATTTTTTGGAGCTGTGTTCAGTCCATTAACATGACTTTCTAGGATCCTTTTCTTTCTGCAGCAGTAGTGAGCGGTCCTCAATGATGCATAGAACGGTACCACATAATGTGGGCCTTGTTCTATTCCTCATTCTTCTGAGGGCACATGAGTGGCTTGATGAAGCATCCCCAGAGGGCATGTCGTTAATGCCCTGGCTTCATTGACTGAATGATCCTGGCAATCATTGAACGTTCAAGAGAAACAGGAGCTAGCACTGCAGGAGAACGCAGAATGCAGCACTGAAATGTGATGAGGATGAATATTTTAGAGCCTTTAATTTTTTTATTAAGTTGAACTCCAGGCCAATATAAAAGAAACAAGCTATGCGGCTCTATACTCATTAATATATCATTAAATTTATTTTTTTAAATGCAAGCAGTGTAAGTACCTGAATTTGACCTGGTATCAACCTCTTGCAATCTATACAACAGAACTCAAATTGCGAAAGAATGAAGCAGCACACAAAGCCAATCATATGCTAACAAGAGACATGCTAATAGAAGAAAAGAACAGAGTGACAGAGAGATGAGTTGAGATGAGTCAGCTGGTTCTCCTTTCACTATCCAGTCTCAGGTTAGGGGCAAGGACAAGACTTGCATGGGTTATTTAACTGAAGCAAAGAAAAATCAGGTCTGCCAGACAGGGCTGTACTAGGTGCCCGAGCAGTGTAAATTTCATAACTGGACAAAAATAAAAATCCTTTGGCTGGTAAAACAGCTATAACATATGTATTTTATCTGTGCATTTTATCATTTGCTAACAGTTTTTATGTGCTTGCTGTCAAAAAGCAAATACTAAATTCTATTTGTTAACTTAGAGATTTTGTTTAAAACAAAAAAAAAATGCTTAATGCTCTTCCTTCATGTATTTGATCTTGACAGAACAAGACAAAGAACTTAAAAGTTGCAGAAAGTTTATTTTAGCATTTTAAAACAAAATAGCCAAAGGCTATCTAGTGCCTTTGAATGTATTATTAGTCTTACCAAGCACTTGCAATGCACCAGTAATAACAGCAATGTACAGCAAAATTGTTATTAGAAGCTCTGTAAACCTGTTTTTCACTATAAGTGCATTAGCCTTTTAAGAAATTGTGTGTTTGGTTGTATAGTTAGAGGTGTAATATGGGATTAAGGATTACATAAACCATTTAAAGTATAACTTGTCTTGATTGACACTGTTCCCATAAACAGCTTTAGAATCATGCAGCTTTATATGTTGTCAGGAAAGTTGAACATTGAAGGTGCTCCACTACAATCATGCCACTTAATAGAAAGGGAAAAACAAAACAAGGATGATCCACCCAAAACCCATACTTATCTGAAATGGTTTCACTCTACATCTGTGAGGACTAACAATGCTGACACTCCTGCCTTTTTAATATTATTCTTAATATGTTGATTACACAAAAGCACTATGTTAGATTAAGAAAAAAACCTAAAGTAACAGCTTCTGGTGAAGACTCTAAGAGTTGAATGCTACCTCCAGCTATTTTGTTTAAACTTTTGGATAGAGTGGGAAAGAGTTACATTGACTGTCATGTGTTTATCTCTGTTTTTCACCCCACTGGGGATCTTTTCCCTCACGTCTTGTCACTGTGATGCCCACACAAGAAATGGAGTGTGCGGAAGTCACCAGAACAGAAGAGCATGACCAAAAACAAGAATACCAGCGTTTTAATTTCACTAAAAATAACTGGGTAATTATATAGTATACATACATTCATACATAAATAGAGAACATGTCATCAGTAAGGTAGAGTAATGTATTATAACTGGACCATAAAGTCGTATAACTATATTGTGTTGTTTGCCTGATGTGTAATGTTGCCTGTTTTTCCAAACTTACCATGACCTTTTTGGTCATCTACAGTTAATCCCTTTACTGTTTCACCTACAGAAAAAATTGTGCAATGCCAAGCACCCCAAAATGCATACTGAACACTTATAAAGTTCCGTTCCTGAAGGCAAAGGATCTCCTGGATCCAGGTGCCCACTGTATGCAAATATCAACTTAAGCTTGGGTATGTCATGTCTGCATCCCACAATACAATGTTATTCTTTTTAAAAGGTTACTAAGACACTGCCATTGTACTGTGGAGAAGGTATGCAAGGGCATAACTGAGGTCTAATTTGGAACTCAGGTTTGGAGCTCTTGGTGTGTGCAGTAGAGGACTTTTAACAAACTAATGACATGTTTCAATACCTTGTGAAGCCTGCTTATACCAATTTTAGCCAATTAGTTCTATATTTTGCAGTAATAATAATATATTTTATCAATTATATGTATAATGTATAATTGATATATGTATAGTTAACCCACACTTTCAACACTAACATGTTTCTGTTTGTCAGCCAGATGAGCTAGCTCCTTTACCTCACTTACAAATAATATAAATTGCCAACACTGAGAAGAAGACTAGCCAAGCATGCTGCCATTTTCCAAGAAATTCACCCAATATTAGAATATGCTGTGTCCCAACAAATACCTCAGTGAACGATAAATTATTCCATCTACGGTTATTGTAAAATTATTGGACAGGCTTGAAAAATACAGTCACAACATGGCAAAATTCAGGTATTTTAACTACGTTAGCATACCCCAAAAAGCAAGACAACAATCCTCCTTATCACTGAAGGGTCTGTTTCCTGGGATATTGGACAGCTAAGCTATGTGCATCTGGCTTAGTTAAACCATACTCAAGGTCTTTGCCAATCAGCGAAATTGGATGGTACTTTACATCGAAACACTGGACCTTTGACTTCCTGTTCTGACTCAATGATGACAATGAACATAATGAATGGTAATGAAAAGCTTCTCATGTTATCACTAAAAATCAGTAACTGCACTTTAAAGAAATATGTTTCTTAGAAAATATGGAAATCAGCAGTTATCTGACCTCTTTGACTTCATGTAGATGGTGAGGACTCTGGTTCTTGGATCTTCTGGCAGCTGCAGGGGACTTGTGATGTGTGATGGTGACAACACTGGGGCCGCTTTGTGCGAGATGCCTCTGGCTCCCAGGGGATGAAGAATTGGATGTTCCATGGGGAAGCAATGAAAAACTTCTGGCTCTCTGAGACAATGAGCTCTAAGAAAGGAATAGAGCAAGGAAATGTCATTACAAAAACTTGAGAGCTGAGACCAATGACTTTTCAGTGCCCCATGATATTATGAAGAATCAAATATAACTAAGATGGAGCTTAGTCAGTTCTTGCAGATTTTGCCAAGGGTTCTAAAGAAATATGTTAAATTAATATCCTCAAAGATCTAGAAGAAGAGTTTCGATTTTCAAAAACTGTTAATTTGTATGAGAGGAAGGCAAAAGATAAGAATGAGAATCTTCATAAAAATAAACGTGAAGAAGGAAAGAAGACAATGGAAACTATATATAGTATAAATAGTCATCCTATATGGAAAAGATGTTAACAGCAAAACATAAAATTAAACAAACTTTTGAAATGAGGGCTTATGACATCTATGTATTCCATTCATATCACCGTCATGTACACCACACTGATTAATGTGCTAGCCAGTGGACAAAAAGTGAGAACTACTAAAGATGTGAGCTGAATAAACCAAATTTAGATTTGCCTGGATCAAGTTAATCTTCAGTCCAACATCCATCAATCACTAAGTCAAATTTGCTCATCTTCAACCTACTGTGCTTTGGTACTGTAAGCAGAACATTAGGCCAGTGCTGTCGGCATCTGCACATTTTATTAAAACATATGGTTGGCCAAAGCAAGCATGCAAGTTCATGTATCAATTATTCTTAAAAAATGACCTTATCACAGTGGGATCTGATGGATTCTTTAGCTAACCTTTAGTGATATTTGATCACTCTATGGCTGTGGGCTGGTAGCAGTAAAGTACTTTTTCGCACAACAGGGTTTGCTGATTTTCCATAGACAAAGATTATCTAAATACATAAAATTACAGATAGACCTGCAGACATAAGCTGACCACCAAAAGAGCTTTCGGACAACAGATTTCTTTCTTAACTACTTGACGACAAAGGTAAAACAAACCTTAAAGCCCAAACCCAGTTTTGCAACTTTGGCACGTGTTAGTAAAATTGTACATACAGTATCTTTACAATCACTTAGTATATCCGAGTGAATTATACATTGTTTTTTTCAGGACAAATTGGGTACTCATCTGGTGGTAAATATTAATAGATATCTACTGTTTTTGTTTGCATTATTAAAGCAAAACTGGCCCAAAATAGTAAACAAAGATCATTTTTCAAAATTAGCTGCACATTTCTTTTCCATTTCCATTAACATGTCCCCCCCCCACCAAAAACACCTCCTGACATGCATATGGATACCGTATGTGTGTAGATTACACTGACCCTAGATGTAAATAAAAAAAATAAGCCCTTAGTGCCCCTAGTTTAAAAAAAATAATAACATTTAAAAATAAAAAATACAGTTTTTAAAATTTCAAAACATTTAAAAAGTTAAACATTTCAAAAAGAAGTTTAAAAAAAATATGTTTAATAAACATTTTATAAGAAAATATAGTGCCCAAAAAGCTATTAAAGATATACTATATTGCCAAAAGTATTGGGACGCCTGCCTTTACACGCACAAGAACTTTAATGGCATCCGAGTCTTAGTCTGTAGGGTTCAATATTGAGTTGGCCCACCCTTTGCCGCTATAACATAGTTACATAGTCAGGTTGAAAAAAGGCACATGTCCATCGAGTTCAGCTTCAACTCTATACTTTACACTTGGCACAATGCAGTCAAACAAGTACCGTTCTCCTGGCAACCGCCAAACCCAGACACATCCATCTGAATGCCAGACAGAGAAGCGTGATTAGGCACTCGAGAGAACACGTCACCACTTCTCTAGAGTCCAGTGGCGGCGTGCTTTACACCACTGCATCCGACGCTTTGCGTTGCACTTAGTGATGTAAGGCTTGGATGCAGCTGCTCGGCCATGGAAACCCATTCCATAAAGCTCTCTACACACTGTTGTTGTGCCAATCTGAAGGCCACACGAAGTTTGGAGGTCTGTAGCTATTGACTCTGCAGACAGTTGGCGACTTCTGCGCTTCAGAATGCGCTGACCCTGCTCTGTCATATTACGTGGCCTACCACTTCGTGGCCGAGTTTCTGTTGTTCCCAGTTGCTTCCACTTTGTTATAATACCACTAACAGTTGACCGTGGAATATTTAGTAGCAAGGAAATTTCACGGATGGACTTATTGCACAGGTGGCAGCCTATCACGGTAACACGCTTGAATTCACTGAGCTACTGAGGGCGACCCATTCTTTCACAAATGTTTGTAGAAGCAGTCTGCATGCCTAGGTGCTTGCTTTTATTCAACTGTGGCCATGGAGGTGATTGGAACACCTGAATCCAATGATTTGAAGGGGCGTCCCAATACTTTTGGCAATATAGTGTAGGAGACAAACATACCACATTCTTAAATTGCTCCACACGAAAGTTGTATTTCACTCCTTACCGCTAGCTCCACCCAACTGTTTACATTTGTCCGCCACCTTCAATCTTTCCGCAGGTCCCGGCCAAATCAAAACAAATGGGCGGAGCCAGCAGTGATGTTTCATTCAATGACAGCCCAGCATCCTCAAGTCATTTGCAGATACTGGGCTGTCACTGAACAACAACTGTGTGAAGGCAGCCGTGACACCGGCTGGCTCCGCCCAGTAGTTTACATTTGCGGGGAGAAGATTTGCGGGGAGCCGAAGGATATGCTTTCGTCTCATCTGACCCACTCGGCTGCCTCCGGCTGCTGTATGGGCTATTCTGAATAGCCCTTACAGCAGTCTTTCGGTTCGGTTGTACCGGAGGGCTCGGGCGGCCGAAGGGTTAGCCGATGCTTCGGCTTAATCCTTCGGCTCCTTTATGAATAACCCTCTTAGAATTTTCCTATGCAGACAGCAGTTGGGGCTCTTGACTCTCGCATGCACTACTTTTTTTCGCCGCAATGCACGGTGTTGCGGTACCGCGTATTGCATTGCACTGCACTGCACCTCACAGCTGCTGGGAGGTGTGTTGGGGTACAATTCAAATGAATGGCAATGCAACACACCTAGTGCACGGTACCGCACTCTAGGTGCACTGTGCAATAGCATGTGTTAAATGGTATCATGCTATTAATGCAATGCTATGGTGTGAATGGGCCCTTTTAGGTTACCTTACGAGTACTCATCCTCAAACACAGGACTAATAAACATATTGTAGCTTTAGAGGTATGCAACTTTAGTGCCATCTATGTGACTAGGGACCAGCAGCCCTACTCAGCATTAGATGTTGCATCATTGCATACCTCATATGGCAATAAAAATGTTTTTAAAAAAATAGAATTTGGGGAAAAAACGAATTAATTAAGACAATCTTTTTAAAGCTAAACTCGACTGAAGATTACACTGGGAACAAAAAGTAGCTCTAGCAGACAGCTAGAGCATGTCAGCATGTGTTTCTGCTTTATGCTTTGCTCAGCCAAGTGAATAGGGAAAGAATAAGCATCCTTGAGCAAATGCAAAGGTTGTTGCCAAACACCACCCTTCCAAAAGCGTAGCTACAAAGGGAAAGGAAGTGTGTTATTCGCATGATTACTGGTTGAAAGTAAAGGGAAAATTTTCAGAAAAAGAAAACGGATTCAACCATAAAATCAATAGACTGGTAAGCTGCAATACATTTCATTTTTGTTATGGGTTTGGAACACTTTAACTGCTGCAGGTGAAATAGTGGCAGCACAGCTACTAGGCTATTAAGTAACTGATGCGGTAAAGTATTAAAGACAGACATAAGAAAATGTGACTAAATGTGACTGGAAAACCTACATTCCGCCAGCTTTTATCATTTTTTTTACTATTTGTTGAAGAAATTAGTAAAATGAGCTAGAAAAACAGATATAATTATTTTATCACATGTGCATCATTCTAAGCTTTATCTTATTCACAGGTAGTTCTGACCTACTAGGCCCCTTTCACATGGACGGCAAAATCGGGTCCGCCCTGTCAATTTTTCAAGTGGACCCGATCAGATGCCCAATGCTAGTCTATGGGCAGCCAGGGGTTAGTGGACGGGCGTCCATTTACACTTGGTTACCCACCGACTCTGGCCAGGTCTGGAAATACAAACGGATTCGAGATTCATTTCGCCGGACTAATTGTGCTAGATTACAGGTAATCTGATGTAAATGGACATATGTCCGTTTGCATCCCACTACCTATAGACCGACGTGGGGTCCGGCAGTTTTTGTTCTTTCCTCCATCAAAAGATGAGGGAAACAAAGTGGATGTACACAGATGTTATAGCAGTGACATCCAATCTGTACTGCTCCGATCACGAAGGGATCCTGATCAGCCCGTGTGAAGGGGCACTAAGTGTTCAACCACCAAAACTAATTTCTTGCATATTTTGATGGACTATTTTCTCATTACTTAGTCTCAGCAGACTTTGGTGAATGAAAACACAAGCCCAATCATTCATGACACCACATGGTTTCAAAATTGAAATGCTGTTTATACGATTAACATGGTAATGCAGCTACACCTTCACCTTAAATTGCAAATCTCTACCTGATAGTCCTAAAGTGACAATAAAGCCAAATTTTTTTCCCCTCCCCCCCATGTAAATGTTAGCACTTACCTCAAATGATGTCTCTTATTCTGATCTTCCTCTTCTTTCCCCATGTTTTCATGTGTCCCTCCAGCGGTGCGGCGTCACTCCGATCCAGCGCTGACTGCTCTGTCTCTCCGATCAAGCGGTGTTCACAGGCAGGTGCACGCGTCCATAGACTTACCTTGCGTCTCTGCTCCCGGCCGAGAATCGGAACTGCGCATGCGCCGCCCCAAGATCCTTTGCGGCCGTACGAGCAGTTCCTGATTCTCGGTGCGGGAGCGAGCAGCGGTAACGAGGTAAGTTTAAAACCAGTTCAAGCATTTTTGTGTTTTTTTAAACTTCTTGCCTATATCTACTGCTTGCTAGCAGTAGATATAGGCCAAAAAAACGGAGGGTTTAGAACCCCTTTAAGTTAGCCATAAGCCAGTAGAATTTTATTGGAAAAAAAAATGTTTTTAGAACATTTGTTCATTCTAATAGTTAAAG